AGCACGACAAGACTCCAACATCCTGGCCCTCCAAATGATAAACCCGCAAAAACGCCCAACCAACCGCCTCAATCCTCACCCTCGATAACCATCCCCCTCGCATTCGGCACCCCAACCAAAATCTTCCCCTTCGGCACCCTCACATCCTTCACCTTCATACACCCAAACACATTCAGCTCTCTCAGATTAGGACAGCTCCGGAAGATACACCCCACCACAAAATCTGTCACCTCCTCGCAAAACGAAATCTCCATCTTGTGCATATTCTCATACGTTTTATCCGCCGTGAACACCTCCTCAAACGCATTGCTGGAAATGTGACGACAACCATGAACATTCAGATTCTGGAGCGTCTTGCCCGAGTGCGCCATCAGGGCCTTGAACCCTTCATCGCAAAGGCCGATACCGTCGGGGTTCTCGCGAGGTTTCGTTGATTCGAGTTGGCGGCATTTCTGGAGGTCGAGGAAGACTAGACCGGGGTTGGACCAGGTTGAGGTGAAGAGGCGGGCAAATCCGGCGTCGGTCATGAGCTCACTGTCGGTGATGCGGAGCTTCTTCAGATTGCGACAGTGCATGTGGAGGGCGTCGAGGACTGTGTTGTCTAGCTCGGGGACTCTGGTCAAGCACAGTGTTTCGAGCTGGGGTCCGATGGCGGTCAAGAGTTTGACGTATACATCCGGGTGGATTGCCTCGCGCAAGTCGAGGGACAGATGGCGGAGAGTGGCAATTTTGGCGATGTGGTTCAGGCCTTCACCGGTGACTGCTTGGTTGTGGCAGACTTTGAGGCGGGTGAGGTTGGGACAGCTAGTGGGGATAACTGCAAGAACAGCATCCGTAAAATGCTTGTCTGTCCAGTATACCCGAAGTGATCGCAGGGGCTGACCCTTCTTTTGAAGATACTCGATCCATTTCCCTTCGGAGATGAGATTGCACCCGTGAAGATACAAATCTTCAAGGACGATATGGCGGTCGACGAGATACTCTACCACTTCGTCCTTGAAGTGGATGGCGTTGCGAACTTTGAGTTTCTTGAGTTCCGGGACCGAATGGAAGATGCGATAGAAGTCGTCCGCACTGAGCTTGGCGCCGTCATATACGAGCACTTCCTGGTTGCTTGGTTTCAAGAACAGGCTGAGTGTCGTGGGGTTGAGAAGACGGTGCTTGGAAAGCTTTCGAGCAATCTTGTCTACAATTTTGGGTGGCAAGTCACCCAAATCCTCGGCAAGATCAATGTTCTTTGCCAAAGTCTGAATGCACAAAGACATCAGGCTCTTGCCGCCGACGTGGTATGTTCCATCCAAAATCCTGCTCTGGGTTTGGCGACGTGCGCCCACTGGTCCTCCGCTGGCACGCTTGGTCTTCTTCTTGGGAGCAGGATCATCCTTAGCAAGCTCCTTTCCACAGGGTGAACAGACCAAGCCTCCGTCAGGGGCATTGCGGGAGTACGGTGTTACCGTAAACCGTGTGTTGCAGATGGCACAGTTCTCCATCTGGCCCGGTAGAGGCTTCGCACGCTCGTTGAAAAGCGCGCGGACAATGTCGTCGTCGTCGTCATCTGAAGCGTCAGGATCGCGCTTACGTTTCTGGAACTTCTTGCTGGCCTTGATCTTATCAATAGCGTGTTTTTCCTTCTCTTTTTTGCGCCTCTCGACTTCAGAGGTTACCTGGGCTGCGCTTCTTCCTCTTGTTACTCGACCGGTAGATGCCACAACGGGCTCGTCCTCGTCAGATCCCGGTGACGGGGTGTCGAAATCGCCATTCTCATTCAAGAGTTGTTGTTGAGCAGCATCAGCTTGACCTTCTTGGTTGTCCTGGGCAGCCGCTCTACGACGAGCCTCAGCATCAAGTCTAATTTGGTTTGCCGAAATGTTATGCGACTGTTGGCAGTTAGTTGGTTTGATCTGTCCTGTATTGGGGCTCAAGATGTCAGGGGCGACCACTTACAGCCAAAAAGTCCGTCAAGGCCGATTGTCTGCACCGGATATCTGTCAGCTAACATGACCTTTGCAAGCGCCGTTTACAAGACCAAAAAATACTAACGGGCCCATAATACGGCACCCAACCGTCCGAGTCTGTCGGGACCTTTCTCTCATGTTAGAATGTGTTGATCTCAAGACGGCGCGAGATAAGATAGGCAATACTCACATATTGGCTATCTCGAAGCTTTGCCTGCGACTGTTTGGGAGGGAAGCTATAACAAGATGGATGAATGTCGACCTGACAGCCTGGAGTTTAGATCGCCCCAGGGTAAAAATTGGGAATAAAGCGACATGCAGTGACAGACGCGAAGAGGGGCAAAATCAATTTAAAACTCGCCCCCATTGTTGACGCCAAAGCACCTGACTTTGATTCCAAGGCTGGAGCTGAACTCCAAAAGGAGAGCAGCAAGGGGCGAGTGGACCGTGCGAGACAAAAAGTCAAACCAAGAAGGGCAACTTGCTCGTCCCGTTCCTGCCGTTCCTTGCCTGGTTTGCCTCTTGCTGCCTGGACTGCGTGGAGAAAAAGCAAAGCTCCAGCAAATCAATCAAGGCCTAGGTCATGTGCTTTCGTGTCAGATGGAAACGCGAACCTGAACCCCTACCTGGGCACCTGGCGCTGCTCTCTCAGCTTTCCCGCCTCTAGCTTGCACAGCGCAGCCCTTTCACCTCCTGAAGGTGGCGACGACAATAAATTTCTTTCTCACTGCCTCCATTGTCCCACGAGGTTTTCATTGACCAATTATCGCCCGTGGACTTTTTGTTGCTTGGTGGCCCTTTCCTCCCTTTCCTCGGCGCAGACTGCGTGCACACCATTTTACTCTGATCCCCAGATCACCGTGGTGGGAGCACTTTCCAAGCTCGCTGATCAGGGGCTTGATTGACAACCCGCTCCCTACCTATTCATCTGCACAACTCAACCGATTTCTTCTGACAAATTTTGAGTATCAAGCCGCTATTGTTTTCTTGTGAAATCTCTCTCTTGCGGACATCAAAAATCCTACAACCCACAAAACCGTACCCTCTTTCGTCGGAAATACACCTCCACCTTCGGATCAACATTGGTACTTCAAGATGGTACAGACGAGGAGGTCGCTCGCAGCCGGCGAGATTGTTGGTAAGTAAACAACAATTACATCCAAGTGACAATTCTATGCCGTAATGGCAAAGATGGCTCCAATCTTGAAGACCCCTAAGCGACCCCGGAATCCTCTACTAACAGTCATATTCAGCGGCGTCCCCTCAGCCCGACTCAGTCCCCTCGGTCAAGCAAAGAGGCAAACCCCCAGCCAAAAAGCTGGCTCTGAGCACAGAATCATCTGCTTCGCCGACCCCCCAAGCCTACTCCTCGGCAAGTGAATATTCGACGCCGCTTACTAGCAATGTTGCGACGCCAGTACCTACCGAGGCCCCCTTGACTGTTCCAGGGAAGAGGATCGAAGTGGTACTTACCACTCGGAGAGCCCGTGCTAGACCTTCAAAGGTCCCCGAAGACGACCCATACTCTGTCGCACCCAAGCGCAAGAGAAATGTCATCGAGGACAGTGAGGAAGAGCTCTCGGACTATTCCCCAGATGCTGAGCTTGCGCGGAGGTTGCAGAAGGAGGAAGACGCTGCTGCTGCCAATTTCGCGATCCCCTCTCTCCAAACAAAGGCTAAACCCCGATCTCGGCGAGCCGGTCTAACTAAGGACAAGACCGAGGCCATGTTCACTTCTCCACGTGCACGTGCACCCGTTCGCCGTTATGGTAAGAAGAACGAGGAAGTGTCTCTTCCACAAACATCAAAGACGCGAGTGGGTGTTAAGAGACCCGCCATCGTTTCAGATTCAGAGGATGACGACGACGACGAGGATGATGACGACTTTGAAGAGGTCGACAGCGATGACTCTCTTCCGTTGATCAAGACGCGAGCAGCAAGACCACCAACCGGTCCAATCAGGAACCACGATCTCAACGTGGCTGCAGGTGAGAGCGAGATCTCTGAAGACGACTTTGATGGCACCGCCGACGATGTTAGCGACGACGATGGCAGCAACATCGCGTCTGAAGTTGGCAGCACCGCTGGAGCCCCAACTAATAGGAGCAATTCGGCTATTCGCACAGCCATGGCCAATCGACGCGCTTACAGATCTTATGCGAATTCTCGACGTGTTAGGAATGATCGTCGTCGTCTTGAGAAAAATCACCCCGAGCTCACGACAATGTGGGAGGATCTGAAGAATATGCCCATTTTAAAGGCTGGAAAGGCGGCGCAGCCAACGTCCATTTCTCGCCAGCTGAAGCCTTTCCAGCTTGAGGGATTGGCTTGGATGCAGGCGATGGAAAAGACCGAGTGGAAGGGGGGCCTTCTGGGTGACGAGATGGGCCTTGGCAAAACAATCCAGGCCGTTTCCCTCATCATGTCCGACTTCCCGCAGCCAAAGCCGACACTGGTGCTCGTCCCTCCGGTTGCTCTGATGCAATGGATGACTGAGATTGAATCCTATACCGACGGCACACTGAAGACGCTTGTCTATCACGGCACAAACGCCAAGTCCAAGAACATCAAGGTGAAAGATATTAAGAAGTATCATGTCATCATCATGTCCTACAACAGCTTGGAGTCGGTCTTCCGCAAGCAAGAAAAGGGATTTAAGCGCCAAGGAGGTCTTGTCAAGGAGAAGTCTGTCATCCACCAGACCGAGTTTCACCGCATCATTCTTGACGAGGCTCACTCCATCAAGACGAGAACCACGATGACAGCCAAGGCGTGCTTCGCCCTCAAGGTCACATACCGATGGTGCTTGTCCGGGACTCCTCTGCAAAATCGCATTGGCGAGTTTTTCTCCTTGATTCGTTTCCTCAATGTCCGTCCATTCGCATGCTATTTATGCAAGTACTGTCCCTGTAAGACAATGGAATGGTCTATGGACGAGGACAGTCGCTGCACCGAGTGCAAGCATGGAGGCATGCAGCATGTTTCGGTCTTCAACCAGGAGCTGCTCAACCCGATCCAAAAGTACGGGAATCGTGGAGAGGGCGCCGAGGCCTTCAAGAAGTTGCGCGTCCTGACGGATCGAATCATGCTCCGTCGGCTCAAAAAGGACCACACCGACTCGATGGAGCTGCCTGTGAAGGAGATCAATGTTGAACGTCAGTTTTTCGGCGAAGCTGAGAACGATTTCGCAAACTCGATCATGACCAACGGTCAACGCAAATTCGATACCTATGTGGCCACCGGTGTTCTCCTCAACAACTACGCCAATATCTTCGGCTTGATCATGCAGATGCGCCAGGTCGCTGATCACCCGGATTTGCTCCTGAAGAAGCACAGCGAGGGCGGCCAAAACGTCATCGTGTGCGCCATATGCGACGAGACTGCGGAGGATGCCATCCGATCTAGGTGCAAGCATGACTTCTGCCGCACATGTGTCAAGAGTTACCTGAATTCGGCAGAGGAGCCCAACTGCCCACAATGCCACATTCCCCTCTCGATTGATCTTGAGCAGCCCGAGATTGAGCAGGACGAGACCATGGTCAAGAAGTCCTCGATCATCAACCGGATCAAGATGGAGAATTGGACGTCCTCGTCCAAGATTGAGCTTTTGGTCCACGAGCTCCACAAGCTGCGCTCGGACAATGCCTCTCACAAGTCGATCATATTTTCACAGTTTACAACCATGCTTCAGCTCATCGAGTGGCGTCTCCGCCGTGCGGGTATCACCACTGTGATGCTTGATGGTAGCATGACACCTGCTCAGAGACAGGCTTCGATTCATCATTTCATGACCAATCCGGATGTGGAATGCTTCCTCGTCTCGCTCAAGGCTGGTGGTGTAGCGCTCAACTTGACAGAGGCGTCTCGCGTCTTTATCGTCGATCCCTGGTGGAATCCCGCAGCGTAAGTATTCTGTTTCGTTATCATTGAGCTTGTCACATGGCACCCGCTAATCTGTTGTATCACAGTGAGTGGCAGAGCGCCGATAGATGCCACCGCATCGGGCAGACGCGACCCTGCACGATCACGAGACTGTGCATCGAAGATTCGGTAGAGAGCCGCATGGTGCTTCTGCAAGAGAAGAAGACCAACATGATCAACTCGACTATCAACTCGGACGATGCCGCCATGGACTCGCTGAGTCCGGAGGACCTGCAGTTCTTGTTCCGTGGCAGCTGATTGGATTTTGTGCGAGTATCAGGAACCATCAACCATGATCACATGGGCTACTTTTGTCGGTTTTTTTTTTTTTTTCAATTCCTGTCGTTCTGACATTGGCCTTGCTGTAGTGTCACCTGCCACTGTATATAATGTAACCAAACCAGCGTTGGTTTGGGAAAGGAGTCATATGGGTTAGCAAGCGGAGGAAAACAGAGCGCATTTAGCTCATGTTACTAGGAAATATTGGGAGGCATGCGTTGTGTGTGTTTTTATCATCATACTTGGGAGAACACGCCAGCTGAGACTTACCTTATACATTGCTGGGAAGAGTTGCCTCTGTTGAAATCAGATACAGATAGCCCACTGTCAATAGCACAATCATTGTCTGATCTCATCGTGGACCCGAGAGTTGCAACGGACCCCACAAATGACACACAACAGCTTCATGCAACAGCGGGAGCTTGCCCCGTCATGGGTCCCGGAGTTTGCGGGGTAATGGGGCAGCATCCCTGTGGAAGCCCCATGACCGGTTGCTTAATTGGACGACCCGCCCCCCCCCTCCCTGTTCATCTGAAGAGGGGCATCTCGAAACAGGCGTCATCCTACAGGCGTTGGGAGCTTGTATTTAAGGATTCGCTGCCCTGTTTTGCTTTTGGGGTTTGGTTTTATTCTTGCAATGCGTTCTACTCTGTATGTGTATGGTTGCTATTATTTTGCTGTGTGACCTTGCGGTTTTGTATTTTGATTCCTGGTGGTACTCGAGTCGTTACTGCTGCTCTGTTTCCCCCGAGGGCTCGGGCAAAGGCAGCGCTTTCTTTCAGTTGGTTTGGGCCGCCGCCCGGTGGTATCATATTGGCGGCACCCGTCTGGTTTCCGCCATTGAAGACTACCCCTATCCTCCTCCTCCGTGATTTTTATTCCAGC